CATTAATAAAAGATGTATTACAATTATTTTTTTCCTAACATGGTCAATTCTTGACTTACTATGGTGATACCAAAAATCAGTGGGTAAATACTCTCAAATTACAGAAAAGAATACATGAAAAATTTAAATATATTTACCAAATATATCACATTTTTTTCAGAACTATCAAATGCATTTCCTATAAACCAAAAAGCCAAACTCACTGCCATCAAGTCAATTCTGACTCATAGCAACCCCTTTTGGGTTTCTGAAGGAGTAAATCTTTATGGAAGTAGACTTCCCAATCTTCCTTCTGTGGAGTGGCTGGTGGGTTTGAATCGCCAACCTTCTGGTTAGCAGTCAAATGCCTCAAGTACTACGCTACCAGAGCGCCTTTACTAACATCCAAATCTATCTGATTCTGAAGATGTACCAGCAGGTACCAGAAAGATTCTAATACTTCAAGCAAAAACAAACTACTATGGGAACATTAAACTGAAAGTATCATCTTTTATGTGCTTTTAATATCTTAGCATCTTTATTCATCTTTTTTCTTCATACACTTATGACTTGAACTTATTTTAAATGATGGCAAGATATACTGCTTCCTCAACCATGTTTCCCCTTGCCAAATTCTATAATTCTGCTCACATAGGATAATGTTCCTATTATACATCAGTTTTGTCTTTTCCACTTCCCAAGACTGTTCTGTCATCTGATTGGCACATATCTAACCATAAACAGGTTTGGCCTAACAAGATTTCAGTTCCTTAAGTTATTAAAGATCAATCTGCTCACAATGTCATTTTTCTATATTATGAGTCTTTTTCTCTTCCCATTATGCCAATCTGCCCATTTTGAAAACATAACATCTTTATTACATTAATCCAGCAGGCTATTTCTAGTTTCTCACTAAAATTAAATTCTAAAATATTACATTAAAAAATGAGAATTTTAATTCTAACCAATGTGACAACACACTGGCAGAAACTTAGACAGGAAACAGAGGTAATTTCCCTAAAGATTTACCCATTGATGTTAGTCTAGATCTGCAAAGGCTGGACATGATCAGGTTGTTTACTAGACTGAATTTAGGTAAATCTACATGATGAACACATGTCACTTCATAGTGAAATAGGCATTACTTACAGTAGAAATGCATCTTGGTCTCCTAAGAGCAAAAAAGTTAACAATATTGAAAGATTATGGGATATTATCTAAAAGTTCGAGTCCCTATTTCTTTGTTGTCACTTTTGTTTTTCTATAAACAGATATATACTTTATGGCACAAAGAACTGAAAAAGATTTTTAGGCAAATTACTAGCTTCTGATACTGATTCAAAATGGTTTTGCTATTTAATCTAGAAAATAGATAATGTAAAATTTAGATATTTATATTAGTAGGAGAATATGCTTTTATCAAAAAGAAAGATTAATTGGTTATAACTCTAAATCACACAATCAGCTGTAAAATTCTCTATCTTGGTTTGTTGTCTTTAAAAGCTACAGACTGTAATCACATGTAAAATTAACGAAAAAGAAATATTTTTATGCAAAAAGGAAAAGAATTCATATATATATGTTCTTAGTTATAATATTTTGGAACACTTCTAAAACTGCAAGTAAAAATGCTAACAGTTATAACTTTTATACCATTTCATGGAATACTAAGTGTATTTAATTGAAATCTAAAGTTTAAATAGACTTTATTTCAAGATTATCAAACTAGTCATTTAATAGTCATTACATATTTAACAAATATTTACTTACTCTTAAAATTAATGTCTGTGTCATTTATTTGATGTGGAAAAAGATGTCCAAAACATAATAAATATGTTTTTATCATTCTGAAAGTTAATCATCTTAAAAAAAAGACATTCACAATTTATGGTATTTCTACGGATTTGATTAATTCATTTTAGTTAACATATTTTTATACTTGCATTTCCATAGTAATTACAAGTTATAACAGATGTATTGAGTATGTAGCTGTATAAATTGAAATGACATTAAACCTATTTAATCTAAAACATTTCTAAAAACTTCACTGAGCTGCCATAATTTTTGTCAGCATATGTAGTACTGAATGATCATTAAAATACCTGAATTGAAACTATTCCAGTCTAGCAGTTTGTAAGGTCTTGTGTTACCCATAATTCCGACAAAGGCTGAGTTCAAAACAGCAAATTAGTAGATCAGTTTTAAGTGCAGAAGAGTAGGAATAAAACAAAAAAAAATACTACAAACAATAACATAATTAACAACACCACTCGACAGGAACTGGAAAGACATAGATAGCAGAGTTAATAAGAAGTAGAAAGGAAAGAAGGAGCATGCTATAATAATCTACATCAACTAAAATCTTCTTAGGATAATTACCTTGATGTTTAAACCACCCCATGTGATATGTGCTTGTTTCCTTAATATTTTAAAAAGGAGGAAGTACTTAAAAAAATACTTCTAAAATACTTCATGTGGTATTAGTTTTAAAATAAGATTTTTACTTCTATTGTGGATGTGAAATAATAATTTCCCATATTAAAAAGTAGCTGTAAGATTCTTTTGAGAGTGCAAACAGCACTTTCAACATTAGCACATGCATTTCAATCTATCATTAGTTTCTCTGAGCAGGGTAGCTCAGTGTCACTAAGCTAATTAAAAAAACATTATGGTAGAATGCTAGCGTTTTGTCTGATTTTGTATTAACATTCAGCCTTTTTCAATAATTTTTTTTTCTGTAAATAATTATTTAAGGGTTCTGGAGATAAAATATTCTTGAGGAAATTTTCTTTTTTAGTGTATAATACATACATGCAACAATCCAAACACTGTGATGTTTTAAATAAAAATAATATTATATTGGAACTAATGGAATATATAATTGATATGCATTTTATTAAAAATAAACAAAATGAAAATATATCATTAAAAGCACTTATATGTATAGGCCCACAATCTTTTGGAAAGTAATCCATTTGTAACTAAGAATCTCTACATGTGAACTGAAAAAATATTATGAAAGGGGAAAAAAGAGAATATATGAACTGGCAATTACAAAACACAAAAAGTTCTGTAAATAAGGATTCCTGTTTCTTCTCTGGCCCAGAATTCTTACAACTCTTAGAAAGATGTAATTGATAAGTATGATAATTCCTCAAGAAACAGTTTTTTTGTGAATAGTAATGACAATTAAATACAGTTCTCTACTTAAATTTAAATAATCTTCATTTGTTCTCCCAGACTCAACAGTTTACTCAGAGTACATGGAAGCAACAAAATAAAATCAAATTGTTTTCAGTTAACAGGAGACATTTCATGTTATTTGCTTTTGAGTAGATAACAACTCATCAAGTGACCGTATAAGACAGACTAGAACTTCTCCATAGGAGTTTGGTAGGCTGTAATCCTGTTACAGGAGGAGATCACCAGGTCTTTTCTCCTTAGGAGCTGCTGATGGGTTCAAAGCACTAATGTTTCAGTTAGCAGCTGAGTGCCTAACCATTGTGCCACCAAGGCTCTTTAAGTGGAGATATTAGCAACAATTAGGTATAGTCCTGAAACTACTTTTGGACCTTCACGTTGGCAGTTGCCATGTATAAAAATATTTGCGTCAATGTTCACAGAAACGCAGGTAAGTAGCCTTGGGTCACATAGCTTAATAACAGGTATTTCAAATTTGCCCTTTCCAAATTTTTCAAGTTCCTAATAAGTACAGCACTTTTGAGACTCAGCACAGTCTTCAAGATCTCAATACATTAAGTTGGCATCAGCCTGAATTTGCATTTAATTACTGCAGATTATACAAATACTACAAAGAAGAAAAGATCTTAAATTGACCAGAAAAAAAGGAACAGGAAAAAAAAGGGGGGGGGGGGGGACTAGAGGAGAAAAAGACTAGTCTATTCCTTAAAAGATATAATGGCTAAACTTTAAAGCTAAATAATCCTGGCTATGACATCTCTTTCAGAGTATTACTGCCCAATTTAAAAGTATATATGTTTTCAATAGAACTCCATTCTGTTAATTTGTAATTATTAACTCAGAGGACATCAAACCATAGGGCACAGATTAAATTTTAAAAAATAGAAAGAACAATAATTCTCTGTATGCTCAAAATCACTAACAGCAAAGTTTTCCATTCAGTAACTTCAAAGTATCTTACTCTTCTTATCTTCAAGGTATCAAAACAAGCCTCCAGAAGAAGTTTTGTAAGTAACTATTTAAATTTTTCAAAAATATATGCATATATGTCAAAATAGAATACTAACATGACTTCAGTTTAAGATAATGTTATTAAAATAGTAAGGGACTTGAGTAACATTTGAGCATCTAATCAATGGGAGATGCAAGTCCACACTCCATATAGACAATTCCTACTGTTTATCTTGCTAATTTTAGTTTCAGAAAAATCACCAGAGCATTTATGATCCAAGGGCCTGAAATTACTGGTGCTCTTTTATAATCATAGTCCCATGTTTAAAGAAATGACTTACTATTCATATTTATTTGCTTACACAGAATAAATAGCTATATAGAGGAAAGCAAGGAACCAGAAACTTTTGGTTCTTTTATTAAATTCTTAATTTTTAAAAATTCTTCACATTTATAATTACATATTAAAAAATATCTCTTTTAAGAATAAGAAAAGTGTTCAAATAATCTATAAAGAAATAGTGCTAATAAAAATAATTAACTGAACACATTAACAGTCATAATGGTCAAATAATAAAATTTCTTACCTGCCTAGGTCAAAGAAAATAGCTGACTGAAGTTACTTAAAGATTCTCAGAAATGAATCCAGACTTGTTTTTTATAGAAAAGTAACTAAAATATACTTCTACTTAGTTTGATTATTTTTAATTAAGATTACCACAAGTATTAAAAGTATCATATGCCAGTTTATGCTTTATTTGTAATTTCTCTTTCAGATAGGCTTGGCTTAAAAAACATTATAAAAAATCCTCTTTAACAATCACATTTAAGTAAATGAAACATTAAAAACAAATTTCTCTGGAACTCACCAGGATTATGGATGCGATCCAAAAGCTTCACAGAGCGTGCACTAACCACACCCCCAACATGCACAAGAAATCCAGGAGGAAATGCCGTCAAGGTAAAAAATGGAAATTCCTAAGTAGAAAGAATGGGGAAAAAATAAAACTGACCATGTGTAAAGTATAAAAATTGCTAACTAAAAGCTTATCATAAGGAAAGTATTCTGTCCCTTGACACAAAAAGGTTACCCATTACACATTACACTTGTTTTGTAATGAAAAGTTTCCTTAGATATTTAGAGCTCCAAATCCTTTTTTTCATATATACAATGTGATATGGAATCCAAACACTATCAGTTTTCAATGAGGAAAAAATGTTTTCAGAATTCCAATCTGAGATATTTGGAATCCACTCTCCCCTCCTCTCTCCTACCCTAATGTAACACTACAACGGGATGAGGGGATTCCCCTATTTCTCTACTCCTCATTTATTGTTCAGTAGGGTAGACCTCCCCTCATGTACACACCCAATGCCAAACTATTGGTAATAACTCCCAGTATTACTGGGGCAAATGATCTAAAAGAATGAATGTCTGAGGGAGAGAAAAGGAGAGACCATAAGGGCAAATATCAAGTTGAGGTGGGTGGAGAATAGTTGAGAAGGATCATTCACTTTCCTTACTCCATAAACACTAGGACAGCAGAGGCAAATGTAAGTGCAAGGATGTATATTAAGGAAAGGGGAGAGAGGTATTTAGTTGGGAGCTAGGAAGGCAATAAAACTCCAAAAACTCTCCCAAGTTTTAGTCTCCCTTTCTCTCTTAAGAATATCAAACTTGTCAATTTAGAGACAAGGAGAAGCAAGCAAGAGAGTAACGAGAAAACAGTCAGGAAATTAATTGAAATAGCATCCGAGAAGAAAGAGGAGCGCCTGTGGTTGCCCAAATGGAGTGGTGTCTCACATTATACAAATGGAATGTAAGTAGAGCAACTTAATATCTGACTACAAGATTAGTACAACTTCTCATTTAAAAAGTCACTTACCAGTGCCCTCAGCTATTTAGAACTTAACTGAGCACTGGAAAATAAGCAAAACAGGACTCTCAACAATCAAAAGAACTGTTACAATACTAAATACCAAAGCTCATGCACTTCATTCATAAGCGATTCTCATATATTCATACTATGATAATATACATATGCATACATATATACAGTTTTGAAAACATTTAAGTCTAGTATCTATGATTATCTGATTTTCTGGACCATGGTGAATTAAATGCAGCAAATAAAAGCTGGGAGAGAGAGAGACAGAAAACTACTAGAAGCAGGCATATCAACAGCAGCAAGATTATTGACTGACTGCCTAAGAGCACAGAGAATACAAACTCGTAAGGCATAATTCACAAATCTTAGCCACGGAAATCATTTAGTACAAAGGCAAACAGTTCCCATTCCTCAGTAACTCAGGAAGGTAAAGTACTAAATGTATGTTCAGCAGTAAATTTAGTAAGAATTACCAAGAATTTAAATTAAATTGCTAAGAGTGCAAAATTCACAGGCTATTTAAGAAAAGGGTAAGGAACCAGTCAGTGGTTAGGTTTGACCCATATGGTAAGGGGTAGGGAAGGTGCCACTTAAATGTATTATAAATTGTTAAGTCAAACTTATCCATAATTCTATCTGAACATTAAAAATATGTCTTACATGAGAAATGTGTAGGAAAGCTTATGTTATTAGATATTTGAGTATTTTTCCTAATTGAAGTTAGGGCTTTAGGATTTTTTTTAAGTACACTAAATTTTTTTAATTTCCTCAAAATATCTGAAATATGTAATAGCCCCACAGGGGAGAAAAAAGCAATTTACATTTAATCATTACACTTAAATCTTTTAAATATTTAAGCAAAAGATACTGAAAATAAAATTTCAGTAATCTAAATGGAGTATATTACTTCCTTCTGAAACTAGAAAATAAATTAGATATATTCACATATTAGAAAATATATGCATTTCAGATTTAACATGGGTATGAAAAAAAACAAAGGAACTCTGGTAGCACAGTGCCTAAGGCACTTGACTGCTAACCAGAAGGCTGGCGGTTCAAACCCACCAGTCACTCCTCGGAAGGAAGGTTGGGCAATCTACTTCTGTAGTGATACTGCCTTGGCAACACAAGAAGGGGTCGCTATGAGTCGGGTCCCACTTGATGGCACATAACAACAACAACAACATGAAAAAATCTAAATGATTTCTCAATTCTAGATTCTTTTGTTTTTCTCCCCAAATATGGAGTGATGGGGTACACAAACAAGAGGGAAAGCATCATACTAGAACTGGACATAACACAACAAGTGGAGGAATGACACTGGAGCTGCCCAAAGAGGCAAAGGCCCACTTGGCAGACTAAGCCTCTATTCTACATGCTCCAGCTTCCCAGTCCATCTAACCAGCACACCAATTCACTTTATAACACAAAATTTAACTACAGTAAATAAAACCTCACTGTTACTTAACCACATCTCCAGACAATTCTCTACTAGCCCAACTGCCGGTATCTACAGCTAACTGCTAAGTACCTGTCACCACCACCACCAGCAACTCACTACTACCTGTTCTTACATGTTCGCACATGTAATTTCTTACATGTGCTAGGCCCTATGCAAAGTATTTTAAAACTATGTTTTATAATCTTTCCCACAATCCTAAAACAGAAATTCTATTACGTTCATATTTCAGTAAGAAAATGGAAGGAGGACCTTTTATCCTTTCACTCTTTTCTGAGTGACAAACCTGCTTTTTTTTTCCTTGTCATTTCTGGTTAAAAGACTAAGTTTAAAAAAAAGTTGGTTTTAATCTACTTTCTATTGATTATACCCAATAAATTTATAGGTTTCACTGAAAACTACAATTTCTTAAAAATCTATTCAAGCACAAATTACTTTCACTATCTAGATTCTACTTTTAATAACTATAGAAGATTTGTTCTCTGGAAAGCCATAATTTAAGTATCTTTACATGCTGGTTCTTTGACATAAACCAAGTACAAAGAGGATAAAAATACTTAATAGCATGTGTTCAAAGACAGGCTGGGTGAAAAGTCATTAGAACACAAAGGAAGTATATAACAGATTTAAATAGGCTTTTTCTTAGGAGACATTTAAATAGTTAATTTCATTAAGAAATTAAATCCTCTTTTTATTATCTCAAGACACTACAGTAAACAAGAGTAAACCTTCTAGATATAAAACTCCATGTTGGAACCCTACTGTGTAATCCTATAATGTTACCTCCACGTCTAAGAAAATCTTAATTTACCAAAAGAACTTGCTTTATACCAATGCTTCCTATAGTGTGTTCCTCATTAACAGCTATTTTAAAAGGAGGGTACCATGGTAAAATATTTTTGGGAAATACTTGTTTAAACTAAGTTAAACAAGTTTCTTTACTCACGGAGAAATACACATCCAAAACTCTAAAACATAACTTCTTAAACTGTAGAATGGTTTTACTGTGTATATTTCACCAAAAATAAAATAAAGATTGTGAGGAAAAAAGAAAAAGTAACTTTTCTTAAAGGTGAAAAAGTCTTACTGAAAAATATATCTATTTGCTTTACATCAAATAGTTCATAGGTAAGCCCTCAATCCAAATAAAACTTTTATCTCTATTTCTCATCTATTATCAAGATCAAACCAAATTTTTAATGCTTTTGTGAAAGAAAATTTACTTTTATTTTTGATAACTGCTACCTGAATAACTCTTTAAATAAAAGGTGTTGAATAAAAAGTTTCTCTTTTCTCAGGAAAAAATAAGCTGTACAATTTGTTCTAAGTAATTTTAGCATGGGATAAAATTGAACATTAAAATAATATATATATAAAAGTTGTATACATGGATCTGTAACAATGACATGATCTAATATGAGTCAAGGTATATATCTAAACATGTATGGGGAAAATTCTTCATATACCTGGGTTTCATGTTTCCCCAAAAACAAAAGCCATACTAATAGCAGCCACAGGTGAATGGGAAAGCATTTAAAAAGATAATATTATCTATTGCCAATGTACATGAAAAGAAGCAGTCCCATAATCTCAAGTAACTGCTACTATGAAGTTAGATAGTACAGATATACCACCAGTTGAGTTTTCACAAAGATATAAATGTAAACTATAGTTTTCCATACTTTGGTCTTAATTCCATGTAGATTATCTAACAATGAATATATTAAGATGCCAATGTGTTAATGTGCCCAAAATTTAAAGAATGTTTAAAGGCAAACCTGGACACATGAACTTTATCCAAATGAAATCCTAAACAATTTTCATTGATAGTTTTTTTTTTTTTGCTTTACAGTAAATGATTGTAAAAGTCTGTGGTACAGTCAGTCAAGTCACAAGCTCCACATATAAGCAAAATCCCATTACATCAAACTCCATGGCAACCCAAGTTTTTCTGTTGGCGTGAACTGTGGAAGAGTAATTGGATTACAAGAAATCATATACTTAGGGTGAAGCACTGGCAAGGAAAAAGAATGGCAATCCCTCTGGAGAGAAAGGAAAAACGGGAGGGGAGAGGAGACATAGCACTCTGGCCTGAAAAAATGAAGTAGCTGCACACACCTTCACTCTGACCTCCTTCCTCCTCCATGCTTTTGGTCTTTTCTCTGTATTTGGTTTCAGGTGCCTGCAAGGTGTGAGGCAGCTGAAAGGGAACTGCAGCTTGATAGGTAAAGCAAAGATCTGGGTACAGCTAATGTCTTATCACTCCTCTTAGTTCAGCTCTGCTCTCTGTAGCCTTGTCTAAAAGGCAAGTGTAGGTACAGATACTTACAGCACAATGAAAGAAAGTCTAGAACAAAAATAATTGTTCCACTGCTTACAGTAATAGGATCTGAAAAACACTATCTCTCAAGAGCCAATCTATAGAAAAGAAACACCTTTGTTTTATAAAATACATCTTGTTATAGGTGTTTGCTATAATGGGGTTTTTCACCTTTTTTTTTAATGCTAGTGTAAAATGGAACATGTTAAAGATAAAACTCTATAAATGCTTACAGCTTACAATCAGACATAATGAAAGCTTTGGAACTATGTCTTAAAATAACTGACAAGGACATAAAAAATCATGCACTGTATTATTTAAGCAACATGAGCCTCACAGTGCTATAAATTAAAAAACAAAAAAGAAACATTGCAATATGAAAAGAAAAAAGCTGGCAACATTTGTTAAAAGCTTAAACTTAAATGATCAAGATTAAAATTAAAAAAAGCTTTCAATGCAAGAAACAGGCTCTCACACATGTTCAGAAACATACCCGCCTTCTACAGAACCTATGAGGCGATCCTCCCTTAGCAATGAAGTTTATACAAAAAAAAAAAAAAATGAAGAGAAAAATCATCCAAAAACTGTAACTATTAATTTTCCCACTCCACAAATTTAACTAATCATTAAATTTATAATACTTAAAATACACATATTAGCATACTGAATAACATTTATGTAAATCTATAAAAATACAATATCTGAACTATTCTTACTCCTAAGAGATTGGTTAGTGATAGAAATAATCTCAATAAAGAACCATTAATATACTAAAGAATGATTTTTAATGTAATAAAACACAACTGGAATAATTTTTCCTGCAAAAATATCTATTCTCTTTTCTATAACTTTTATGTAAAAGCAGAAATGACTTCAACATTCCAAGTAGAATATTTCTAATAAAAAAACTGTTGGAGGACAAAACAAAAAAAATAGTTACAGAATTATTGCAAATCAAAAGTAATTCTTCATAAACTATTTTGACAACATAAACACATTGTAGACTTCAAAACTGCAATGTTATAGATATGTGACTGAAAACAGTTTATAAAAAGAATTGATATAAGTACATCAGAGCATAAGATAATAGTTGTATTAACAGTGTAAGAATAAAGAATGTCAGGAAAATCTTACCCTTTGCTCCAATGCTGACTGAGTCTGTTGTCTTAAAAGACCTTTAAATGGCCCCCCTTCTTTTCCAGCACTACCACTTCCCATTCCTACAGAACATCAGTAGATAAATAACAACCAAAGAAACAACTATAAAAACAAAAGTTTAGTTGTATTCATCTTTATAATGAGTCAAAACATGTTAAAACAACCCAAACATTTAAAGCATTTGAATTGGCAACTAAAGCACAGTTGACTGTAATTCAGAAAGTTTTCTTTAGAAGCAAGATGTTAAAGGGTATCCTACTGAGCAAAACTAGTTTTAGACTTCATTTGTATTAAAATTAAATGAAAAATATGCTAAGGTGATTAATTTTTGCATATATTCCATTTTTAAAAATTAGTCTACTAATACAAAATAATCAAGACAATTATAATTATTTACTATGCTAATAATTTAAAATACTAAAAGAAATAAGAGAAATATTAAATGTTTATGTAAAAGTAAATACAGAGAAGAAAAGCATTAATTGTACTCATTAAAATATCCCATAATTGTCTAAAGAACATGATTTTTGGTCAATTTAAAAATAGACAAGTTTATTTTCTGACAACTTCCTATCTCTGAACACAGAATCATGACAAAACAGTATTAATATTCATAGTCAAAAATAACAAAAATTTTCAAACACTAAAAATCAAGACATGTAATAGACACATCACAAATGTACATAGCTATGGATGAAAGAATTGTATCTCTCAAGCTCTTAGATGTATTTTTTAAAGCTTAAAATTTCTTTTCCTACCTTATTTCATTCTTTTGATAGTACCATTAGACCAACTATGGTCAAAGGATTATAGAAAGCAGGAGACAAGGGAGAAGCCAGGCTTTATAGACTAGAGTTAAAGGTTCAATCCCACTCTTTTCAAAACTAAAGATATAAAGTCAGATTCACTATAATGATTTAAAAAAATAATAATTTAATTTTACATTTTTAGCTGTTCTTGGATAAGGAAACAAAGGTTAGCATGTGTATAGTCTCATTCTGTTCTTTTTTTAAAAAAAATGTTTTTGTATAATAATCTAAACATGATTTTTAAGAGACTATACAATACTAAACAAAGAAATAAAACTAAGATCTTTATATGAAGCATTTGAAAGCCACAAAATAAAATGTAAATTTGTAGAGATAAATTAAATATCATAACATTTACCAGAATAATTTCTTAATACAGACAATGGATAGAAAAAATGAAATAATGAAAGAATATCATCAAAGTAAGACTTAAACTGATTCAAACAGAATAACTGATTAATGTAATCATATGGTTTAGCAACATGATGGTACAGGTTCAATGTGAATGGAGTTAGTGTAAAGGGAATGAAAGTAAAGCACTGAAACAGAAACTTTAGTAATGATAATCTAATAGTTATTGGAAATAACTAGATCTATGTCCTTAGACATATAATTTTTTCAATATACAAAATAATGTTAGCAGAATATTCATAATTAGACAAATTATCCCTCAAATAATCATCAATATGTCTTCATGATAATTCTAATTGGTTAACTTGGTCTGCCAGTAAGAAAAATCAAAGAAGTACATACTGTGTAAAATATTCAAAAATTCTTTATAGTATAAAATAATGTACTAATTTTCTAAGATGATTTAAAATACAGGAATTAGAAAGCTGATATAATTTGGTCCTACCAGAAGCAGCCAGGAACAGCTCTTCACTGAAAGAAACACTTTTCCTCAGAACTGGGCTGACAAGGCTAGAATGATGAGGGGTAAGGCTAGATTCCGAGAGGAGGAGACAGGACTTTTTAAGATGAAGGGAACCACAAGAGAGAGGGGGGGAGGTGGGCCACAGGTAACTCCTAGGCCCCTGTGGGTAAGGTGCTGTGGAGGAAAGTAGCAGAGAAAAGGTGCAGATTCAGAAGATGATCAGAAAATGCAGATTAAGGAAAGCAATGATGAAGCAAAACATAACTATAAAAATAAATTTTCACATGTATATGCAAATTACACTAGCATATAAAAAGTCACTAGGTAAAACCATCCTATCTAACATAATGTAAAAAAACAAAAAAGGCATAGGTTAAAACTTAACAAAACTTTTACAAATTTTGCAATCATTACAAAATTTAAAATCATCAATTTAGGACTTTATGCCATTCCAAATTACTTTTGACTGACTTCCTCAAAATATTTAAATTACCTGACTTTTTTGCCTGACATTTTATAAGGTTAAAAACATTTATCTAAAGTGGTAATGTATAGTACTTCAAATGCTGCCAAGTAAAAGATCTCATTTAAGGGTATTTTAATTGAATAAAAACATGTACTACCACATTAGGAAGACATCTGTCTTTATTAATCTTAAATAAATGAAATTAAATTCTTTCTGACCAGCTTAAGAGATGTATTTTAATAATTTTCGTTTTCTTCTAAATGTTTTAATAGACCTGATCAAAGCTCTGTTCACATTTACAGAGATATGAGTGCACTGAGGGGCAAAATCCCCTGGATCACAAACTCTACATGTGGTTAAAAGCATAATTAAACAGCAAAAAATTATCTTGAGTCAGGTGTCAATTCAATGCTTAACAGTAGCATTCTGAAATTCCATTCCTACTAGTTGAGTTCTTGGAAAGAAGTATGAAAATAAAGCCTCATATAATGTGAAAAAATTAAAATCTACAGAAAGAAATCAATAAATGAAATTAAATATAAAATGAGACCTACCAGAAAAACAGGTGGTAATTACAAAAAGACAGAAGAACTTTCTCAGCCTAAGCTTTACAGCCTTTATTGTGTTTTTGGTTGCCAGTTTTCTTTTAATAAATCAATCATCATCAGCTTATCTATTCCCACTACTTCTCAAGAGACTGATATTGCATATAGGTAAATGAAAAGGAAGAGAATAATACATGCTGAATTACAGCTTCCGAAATTTGAGAACAATCACAATTTAGACATTTTAATCTTCACAAGAAATAGGAATGTTCATTATAACTATTCAAAGTTACTTTAGAGACTCATGATAAAATCAAGGGACTAAAAATTACAAATATTCAATAAATATGCTCTTCAGGCAGTGAACAACTGTAGGAAAAATAAACTATCTCACTTAGAGGCAGCTTATAAATGTAGAAATATGTAAGAATAACACCACATCTATAAATGAATTTTTAAAAACTAAAATTTGAGAAACTAGAAGATGCAAAAAAGTTTTCACTGATAATACAACTGATTACCTACTAGAAAGTTAAGGAAAGAAAAATTTGGTTCAATTAATGTACTACTTTGGCAATCTTCTTTAGGCTTGGACTTTTGGGTAAACTAAAACAAAAAAAAGAAAAATCACACAAATATTTTCTAAATATATCTGTAGTATGGAAATGAAATAATAGAGTACTGAAAAGTGACCCAGAACTTAATCAGTGGATCAAAGCCTTAACCCATTTTTCCAATAATCTATTCTTCACGTGCTATTCTAAGTCTTTTTTTTAAATTTGTTGATTGTCATAAATTTTAAGGCTGAGTCTCATTCTCTATATGAGGGGAGGAGACTTCACTATAATTTCAATGGTTCAAGTTATGGTATAATATAGTTAAGTACCATATTCCAAAGCACCCTATTATCAAATATCAAATTATTTTAGCTATTATTCATAAAATACCCTTTCTTTACTTAAAGGAGCTCTGGCAATACAGTGGTTAAGGCATCTGGCTACTAACCAAAATAGTGGTTCTAATCCGCTGGCAGAAAAAAGAGGAGGCAGTCTCCTTCCGTAAAAATTTACAGACTTGGTAACCTTATGGTGCAATTCTACTGTGTTCTAAAGGGTCATTATTATAAGTTTGAATCAACTCAATGGCAGTGAGTTTGGGCATTAATTTAGGAGTATCACTGGTTTCAGAATTAGATTTCTCATCATTTTTTAAAAACATTCTGGGGTCATTTTATAAATTTCATTTCTATCCACAAAAATAGGTTATTAAAGATTATAAATTAAAAATAAGACAAATAAACAACTAATGCAAAAAGACAATCTGGTAGGAAAATTGCCAAATAAAAATATAATTTAAAAAAACTACAAAGTATTAACTTGTAAATTAAAAAAAAATTTATCAATTTTTTAAACATAAAATATATTCATAAAAACCCACAGTGGTTATTCATCAAAATACAAAAAGAGAAAAAAAACAATAAACTTTATAAATTGAAAAATATTCAAGAATAAGTAAAACTAGAAATACTATTTTCTAACTTACAGAGTACGATTAGCAAAAACAAGTATTTTAAATAACAAAAAGCTAATAATAGATATATGTATCTACCATATAACCATTTCAGTTGCTGGTAACATTTTTTTTTCACAATAAAATCTTAGAATTATATTCAGAAGTAGGCAGAACTAATGAATTCAAAATGCTTATACTCCATGAGGAATTTCATTGCAAGTTATGAGTGTTACTTTGTATTCAAATGCTTTAAAATAGTAATTCCTCTTAATTTGTGCATGAGATGAAAAATGTCTACACACAAAAATAAATTTTGGACTTGATATGTAGATCTCAGAATAATATCATTTCTGAACTATATAAAATTTTTGTATTTTAGTTGTAGTAAATGAAAATGATCAGTATTTACATTATCTTTTAACTTAAATGTCAAAAACAGGAAGAAAGGTTAGGATGAAAAGCTAATAAGAAACAGAAACAAATTTGAAAAAAATAAGGAAAAAAAAAAAAGGTGGGTGGAAGCGCCTTACCAGTTTTGGGTGTCAAACTCAAATCTGTGTCAGAAGAAGAGGACTGTCGACTGTAGGACTTGGAAGGTGAAAAGGAATAAGTTTGGTTTTTCAGAGGGGTTGAGGGTCCTGATGAGTGAGTATTAGGATTGGGATCTTCATTGAAGGGAATCCTGCCAGAAGAAGGTGGAGAAATATTAAGTAATCATGTGCCAAAGGGCTTGACAGATGGCAGCATGATCCAAACACCAGGAAAGTCTGGGGCAGGGCCAGCAGTCATTTCTTAAGTGTGAAGCTGGGAATGAGGCCAAAGACAACCAAATGCTGTTTAACCATTCATTATTCTCCAGATAAGTATCTTCTGCACTGAAACAGTTAATAAGCCATGTAAAAAGCAAAAAAGCATGAAATGATAGACTAAAGGGATAAAAAAATATTAAAAAGAGAAATAAAAAGAATAAATATATGACTGAAAATATTTTCAAATAAACTTCAAGTTACAAAAGAAAAAATGACTACAAATGGTATGTGTAAATATTCATTAACTGTTTTTATATTTACACACCCACAGATCTTCAAAGGAAAAAAAAAAAAAATGTTTCCTTATCCTATAGCATCAAGAGTGCCACAGCTAAAAACAAAGTAGAGAGGAAGATGAATGTAGCTACACAGAAACATCGCATTTTATGCAGAATAATTGCTTACCTGTTTTCCAATAGTTCTCTTCCAAAGAATAAAACAGTCCCTACTGTAGCAGGTTTTGTGAAAACAAGCAAATTGGCAGCTGTTTAATCTAGTATCCAATCATCAAATTTATTTCTAAGCAAATGCAGAAATAAGTGAAAAATACATACTGGAAGATTCTCCTAGAAACTCACAGTTCACATATAACAAACAGCACACAATATAAAATAGGGCTGTTAAAGGATCCATGGAAGAGATTTTGGAAGTCAGAATACTTTCAGTGCCATACAGTTAGAGCCTCTGTGGTAGCTAAATACAGGAGATCTTCACTGCAGCTGGACTTTGAGTGAGAAAAGGAGGAAGCAAAGACTTGTAGTATCTGCCTGCACTACCTGCCTGGCTGCCCTCTGCAGCCACTTTGCCCATGGCCTGCCTCTCCCCAGCTCTGGAGTCTAAGCAGTCTCATACCAGTATAGATGAGAGTGGGAACAGACACAGAGAAGTTCTGAGTAAGTCGTGAGCCAGAAGCAGTGTGAATTGGGCTGTTGTGAGTCGAGCGGCATCCATGGCTTGGAGGATGAACCAGCGGAGACCTGAGGGAATTTGTGGTCAAAGTGGAAGAAAAGAAAACAATACATACAACAGATAGCAAAGTTATGTTAAAATAATTTTAAGGAGCTTTAGTTAGGGCAAAGAGTTTATTTTTTAATCCCTAGCATGCAAAACAACAAGTTGAAATTTTTAAAAAGAATACCTAAATGTTAATTTGTTAGGATAATTATATTTTAAAAAATGAGATTAATAAAGTATAACTATGGATAAGAAAAATAGAAAGCAGAACAGTCAGTGGGATTAGAAAAGAAAAAAACCTAAGGTTTGGATTTTAAGTTGCTTTATAATCTTATTTTTATTACCATTGGGCTTACTTTATAATATTTATGTGAGGAAAACAACCATGAAAGTAGAAAGTCAAATATAAAGTTCTCATTTCCTTTGAAACTGAGACGTGAGTAATTCCTGATAAAAACTTTTCTATCAAGATACTTTAACTAAGAGAACTGTTCCTATCTCTAACCTGAAAACAGAAGTGCTTCCAAAACCAAAAACCAAACTCACTGCTGTCAAATCGGGTCTGACTCATAGCAACCCCTCCTTGGGTTTCTAAGGTGGTATTTCTACAGAAGTAGATTGCCCAACCTTCCTTCTGAGGAGTGGCTGGTGGGCTTGAACCACCAGCCTTCTGGTTAGCAGTCAAATGCCTTAGGCACCACCAGAGCTCCTAGAAGTGCTTAAGAATATGAAAAATGACAGTACAAAGAGAAATGCACAGTGAACTGAATGGAAATAAGCAGAAAAGTTCATTCCAGTGTTTCAGCACATCAAGTTATATAGCTTAAAACCAGGTCATACTTGAAGCAAAACAAGCAAGGAGGCACTGCTTTTAAAAATGTATTAATATGCTGGATATGAATCATGATATAACATGAATTTTATTATTTTCAGACAGGATGTTGTCATGTCCAACTTTCAGGTGTTCTTGCATGAACTTACAAAGTATTTTTTTCTTTTTCAGCACCACCTAATTCTAAATTTTGTATCTTCTTTCTCTTCCCTTTAACTGGTTATGTCCATTTTTTTTTTTTAATGTTTTAAGCTTATTCATTCTAAAGTCTTCCAGTAAATCTAAGTTGTAGAGTCTTTACCTATGATATCTAGAACAGTTATCTTTCCATGATAATTAATGTCGAGCTTTACTGATTTACTTTAATACATTTCTTAGCATTTCCTGGTGTCTCACTGATAATACTGAACAAAAAGCCATTCCTGAGCAAAAAAAGATGGATTAGAAAGTTCAAGTAAGAATTGTTATCACACTAAATATTCTCTCATACTTAGAAAATTGTATCTAATTGCTCAACAGATAACTTGGCTTTATATATTTTGTAGAAACAAAAATATGAATATTCCTGGGACAGTTCATTTTAAAAGAACATGAAAATACTTGACTATCATGCAGAAAAGGAATGAAAAAAATACACTAATAAGCTAATTAAATGATTTTGTCTACCTCTCATATAGAATTAAACTACATTCTGAATTAAAATTTTGTAAGATACTAACTTATATATCTTGCAATAGACCACATCTGTGTGTGTATAGCTACATAAATCAGATACACAGGTATATATAGTCCTATCTAACATTTAAAATTATCTAGAAAAAATGGATGGAAAAGGTATATTACATACATAAGTATCCTAGATTTATATTAGCAATTATTTCACTGGGAAATGCTTTTCTCACATATGCACAATGGAGGAAAAAGAATCATGTGAATACACTCTAAAAAACAATTTTATCAAATTAAAACAAGCCAATAGCTCTACTTTTTTCTGATCTTTTTTTTCCTTCTTTTCCACTGATATACTATTGACTGCCCAGTGAACATTCCCACCAAACACAATTTGTCAAGGTTCAAACATGAGCTTTATCATTAATTGCCCATAATGGTCTTTCATGAAGTCTACAGACTATTTTCTGAAAATTTTACATTACAGCTTTTGCTATAGTATGAATTTAAAATATGTTCAGTATAACTGATAAAAATCAAGCACCTTATCGTGGTCTTATTTTTAAGCGAACAACTAAGGGATTTTTATTTTGTTTTGTATTAAAGTGACCAACCGACTATAAAAAAATCTAAGAATTAGTGTCATAAAGAAGAGAAATTATGGATAACGTCTCTTTAAAAATATAAAAAACTCACTGCCGTTGAGTCGATTCAACTCATAACGACCCTTCCTTGGGTTTCTGAGGCAGTATCTCTATGGAGGTAGATTGCCCAGTTTTCCTTCCGAGGAGTAGCTGGTTGGTTTGAACCACCAAACCTCTGGTTAGCAGTCAAATGCCTTAGGCACTATGCCACAGAGCTCCCAATGTCTCTTAGAAAGTACTTTTTAAGTAGAGAAGCAATAAATCATATTTAAAAGCATTTTGTACCATCAAGACTGTTCAACTTGTAAATACTAAGGGATTTATATTGTGTATTACACTAAACATCTAACAGTAAAAACCGAACTTCTGGAGTAGAACACACTATAAAATAAAATGAACATTGTAAAATGTTCTAATTATGACATCAAATTAAAATCTAAATACACTGGAGCATCATCATTATTTATCCTTAGGGCTCTAATTCTATGCAGTGTCTTGTATGAAAGGTCCCCTTATAGAAAGACCTCTGTGGTATTTCTAATACTAAATCCACCCAGATAGTAACATTATCCAAACTATCTTTCATCAAATTGCTGTCTAGAATCAACAATGTTATGAGATAATTTAAGTATCAGAATAATTATACTCAGCTGAATCATAACTTAAGTTTTAAAGCAGTGCCCAAATTGATTATCAAAAAAAAAAAAAAGTCAGTTGAAATAAAATATCAAGTACTGAGATTTTTTTTAATATAACATGACTTAGGTAGTAACTTTCAGAAAATCTTAATGAAGCAACTTAAATTCTCCATGGTGTAAATGTTTGACAATTTAAGGCAAAATGGCTACAACAAAATTTGTTGTTGCTGTTATGTGCCATCAAGTCAAACCCGACTCATAGCGACCCCTCCTTGGTTTCCGAGGCAGTATCACTACGGAAGTAGGATTGCCCAACCTTCCTTCCGAGGAGTGGCTGGTGGGTTTGAACCGCCAGCCGTCTGGTTAGCAGGCAAGTGTCTTAGCCATTATGCTACCAGAGCTCCCACAACAAAATTAGAAGGGGAAAAAACTTAACACAATCCCAGAAGATTTACAGTAATATAACTCTTCCAGAATGCATGCAAACATGTATTCCCCTGCTATGTGTATCTCATTCTAAGATAAAAACAGGTAATCTAGCTTTCTCTTTCCACTAAGTAACTGAGTGAAAAGAAGAGACCTTCAGACGTTACAACCACAAAAGCCAGACTGTTCAGTCAGTGCAGGTAAAGCTAGAGGGTGGCAGGAGAAGGACTCAGGTCTTCACTTAAATTAACTAAGAGAAAAAACAAGACCCTCAGAAAGGTACACCTGCAATCTGACTTGACCAGTAGCAGCAGGCAGTTTATATCTCTTTAATACATATTTTAAATGGATATAAAGCAAATTCATTCCTCAGGAGAATTATTTTAAACAATTTTTTTCACTAGTCAATGTATTTTCAAGTAAAATAAGGTAATATATGTAATATTGTGCTCCCTCTTGGGACTAAAACTTAATCCAAATGATTAAAGCCCAACAGGAAGGAAAAGACTAACAGAATAAGCTTAAGATAAAGAGGAGTCTCCTGAAAGCATTGTAATTGCCTTCTGCTCAATCTCCTGTAACTACTGCTGAACTTGGAAACATTTTAGGTTTTCTGACTCAAGAATTGTAACTACCTGATGATCTATCTATAAAAAAGGGTCAGCATACTACAGACCACAGGCTAAATCCAGTCCTTCATCTGTTTTTATAAATATAGTTCTATTGGAACCACAGCCACATTCACTCATTTACATGATGTCTACAGCTGCTTTCACGCTGCAACTGCAGAGTAACTAACTGTGTCACTGAAGTCTAAATTATTAACCATTACAGAACAAGTCTGCATATTCCTTATCTAAAACAATCTCTAGATCAGTCACCCTCAATAAAAGAATTATTAGTATTTTGTGTGGAACAGTCTTCATTGTGCAGAATTATCCCCTTCTGTGTAAGAAAGCATCTCACCCTCTCAAACTAAAAGTACCCCACATCATTATGACAACAAAAATCCTGTCTCAAACATCTGTTGACATACGTCCACTACTGGGAATCTCTAGCCTAGGCACAAATAATAGCACATAGGCCAAATCCAGTCAATACATGTGTTTTGCTGGATGACAAATAATTTTTTAAAATGTAAGTCAAATTCCTTTGGACTGGGGCCAGCAAACACCTTTCTTTTTTTTTTTTTTTTTTTTTGGAAATGAAATTTTACTGGAACATAGCCACATGTATTTATTTATAAATTATCTACGGCTACATTCACACTATAATGGCAGAGCTGAGTAGCTGAAAAAGACTCTTGCCAAAAATATTTACCATCTGACCCTTTACAGAAAAATTTGCCAAGATCTGCTTTAGACAGTCCTCAACAGTCCCTACTCAATTACAACCAACTTTTGTCTTTATATAAACTGCAGAGCTCCTGTAGACATCTGAGGCTCAGACCTCTGCACAAGTTACCCTTTCCTACTTTCTATACTATGTTGCTAATAATAAGCTTAATATGCTATCATAGAGGGTTTTATGCATTCCTCAGGGAATAAGTAAAGTCCCAAATAATACATAAATATTCACTTTATGCTTTAGATATACAATGTTTAAAGATCTGGAATAAGTTTAATTTTACATTACTTAATTGTGTTTTCATATTAAGAAATTGCAAATATATTAGAAATGCCTAAATGTTTTTAACCTTCACATTTTGGCAATCTTCTATGATAAGAAAAACTAGATAGGAAAAAAAAAACGCATGTTAGACAACCCTACTGAAATGCTTCAAATCAAATGAACATGTACAGTTAAGAAATAAAAAGCTCCCTCCATAAGAACAATTCATTGATTCATACTTACTCCTTCATTTCTTTGGATGGGGAATTGCATGCAGGAAGAAATGCTGCTGGGCTACTTAGTTTATCCAGAGTACAGGCTGTTCCTATGGCTCGTACCACTAACCCAGACTCGCCCTCCAGATCAAAACACTGTAAGTACCCAACAACTGCATTTCCTCTCATTTCAAGTACTTTCAGGCCAATCTTCCTCTGCAGTTCACCTACCAAAAAAAAAACCAAACACACCTCATTGTGCTCTTATTGCTACAAAGCTGGATGTGATGCTAATAGGTCAAAATGAAATCACAGAGTTTTAGAACATGAAGGGATCCTATAAGATTATGTAGTCCAGCTTCCTACTTTTCAGGGAAGTAAGACACTATTAGCTACATTTTATACCTGTGGCAATTAAGATTCACTCATTCATACTGTGGTAGTTAAGGTTATGTGTCAACTTGGCTGGGCCTGGTTCTGAGTGGCGGGGCAGGTAGATGTAGTTATTCCTCATGGTGAGATTGGTAATTAACTCCCTGGTGAAATCCACTGGCGCAACTGAGTAGCCACTTTAGGGTTGTGGGAAGCAACTTTGAGGAAGGTCTCCAGCATTTGGCTTACTTACATGTAGCTGAGTCATTGTTCAGCAGCCTGTTGTCTGCTGATCTTGGGACTGTTGATGGGACTTGAATCAATGCCCTGCCATGTAAGTTTGGTAACATCAGTACTGTCCTGTTTTATCTATCTTATCTTTACATAGCCTCAACAGCCAGCAGCTGCCTAAGTGAAGAGACGCCTCTAGCTTCAGTGGGCCAGGAGCAAGAGGCAGAGCTGAAGCCCAAGACTGAGGGGTTTCACCCAGCCCCTAGACCTGGCACTCTGAACTCAGACTTCTAGCCTCCTAAATTGTAAGACAATACACTGCTATTTGTTAAAGCCATTCCATTTGTGGTATTTTCTGTTAGAAGAGCACAAAGTAACCAAAACATACACAATTACCAAGTAATTTTTGGTGTTTATGGTGGGCTAGAGAAATTAGAGATGAACAAAAAAGATAAAGTTCTATACAACATGAAGAGTGAATCCTAATGTAAAATATGGACTTCAGTTAATAATAATGTATCAATACTGGCTCATCGATTAAACAAATATCCCATGCAAATGCAAGATATTCATAATAGGAGAAACAAGGTGGAGGTGAGACAGGATTTCTGCACAATTACTCTGTAAAGCTAAAACTGCTCTAAAAAGAATATCTATTTATTTTTGAAAAATTAAGAGAATAAAAAAGATAAAGTTCCAAACTTAATGGAGTTTATATACTAGTGAGAGAAACAGACAATAAAGAAAACAAATATATATATAATACCACAAACATAAGTATAATGTATGTTTATTACATGTGTATATGTATTACACATTTATTAATTATCAATAGGTATTTATTTATTGCTGTTGCTAGGTGTCACTGAGTAGATTTTTAACTCAAAGAGACCCAATGTGACAGAGCAGAACTGCCCCATAGGTTTCAAGACGGCAGTCTTTACAGAAGCAGATTGCCAGATCTTTCTCCATAGCTTCTGGGTGAGTTCAAACCACCAAGTTGCCAGCTGGCAGCCATGCACTTAACTATTGCACCACCAGAGCTCCTTTATTTATAAGTAAACAAATATAATTAAATATAGACTACAATACATATTTATTAAATATAAACATATTCCCATTCATTTACTTGGTTTGCATATGTGTGTGTGCACACCTATAAATATAAAATTTAAGTAAAAAAAAAACTTTTCAAGGAAAAGTAATGAAAGAGCAGCTAGGAAAGGGGAGGTAGAGGGAGCCACAAATTTTCAAGGAAGAACTGAGAAAAGGCAACATTTGTGCTTTAAGCATGAGAGGGCTAGGTGATATGCCTTGGAAGCAAGAATGGCCAGACTTCGTCTCACCTATTTTGGTCATGTTGTCAGAAGGGACCATTCCCTGGAGAAGGATGTCATGCTTGGTAGGGTGGAGGGTCGACGAAAGAGGGGGAGGTCCTTCAAGGAGATGGATTGATACGGTGGCTGCGATGATGGGCTCAAGTATAGCAGGGATTGTGGGGCTGGCGCGGGATTGGGCAGTGTTTCGTTCTGCTGTGCATGGGGTTGCTATGAGTCGGAACTTAACAACAACAACAACAGGTGATATGCCTAAGATCTGATGACAAATAAATGTTAAAAGAAAGAAAGCCCAGATTTCCTACCTGCTGGCTCAGAATTCTTTCCACTCTGCCGTTTTATGAGCACAATTTCCTTTTACTACCTGGTTAGAAAGGGACTACAAGCTTCTGATGCAGATTTCCTCTTGTTACAGGATGACAATACATGTGTGTTTACCAGGATGAGGCGAGGACAGGGAATGAGTCAGAATTCAGAACCTTATTTGTGAAATGTAAGGCAGCATGTCAAAAGGAAGTGAAGAGGTAAAAAGGAGAGTATTGGGGGAAACAACTGCTGCCTACCCAGGACAGAATAATGCTATGATCAGAAGGCTCCTTTTAAAACACAGTATTTACTGGTTCTGGTCAATATGGAGCCATGATGTTGTTGTTGTTGAGTGCCATCGAGTCGTTTCCGACTCATAGCGACCCCATGCACAGCAGAACGAAACACTGCCCGATCCCACGCCAGCCCCACAATCCCTGTTATACTTAAGCTCATCATCGCAGCCACTATGTCAATCCATCTCATTGAAGGCCTCCCCCTCTTTCATCAACCCTCCACCCTACCAAGCATGACATCCTCCTCCAGGGAATGGTCCCTTCTTACAACATGACCAAAATAGGTGAGACGAAGTCTGGCCATTCTTGCTTCCAAGGAGCATTTCGGGTGCACGTCCTCCAGGACAGATCTATTAGTTCTTTTAGCAGTCCATGGTACTTTCAGCATTCTTCACCAGCACCACAACTCAAAAGCATCAACTCTTTTTCGGTCTTCCTTATTCATTGTCCAGCTCTCACATGCATACGAGGCAATTGGAAATATCATGGCTTGTGTCAGGCACACCTTAGTCCTCAAGGAGACATCCTTGCTCCTCAGCACTTGAAACAGTTCCTTCGTGGTTGACTTTCCCAATGCTACACGTCGTCTAATGTCCTGACTGCTGCTTCCATTGGCATCAATTGTAGAACCAAGCAATGTGAATTCTTTGACAACCTCAATCTTCTCTCCATTTATTGTAATGCGGTTCATTGGTCCAGTTGTGAGGATTTTTGTTTTCTTTATATTGAGATGCAATCCATACTGTAGACTGTATTCTTCAACCTTCATCAGTAAGTGCCTCAAGTCATCCTCACTTTCAGCAAGCAAAGTTGTATTGTCTGCATATCTCAGGTTGTTAATGATTCTTCCTCCAACACTGATGCCACGTTTTTCTTCATATAGTCCAGCTTCTCGGATTATTTGCTCAGCATATAGATTGAATAAGTATGGAGAAAGGATACAACCCTGACGCACTCCCTTCCTGATTTTAAACCATGCAGTGTCCCCTTGTTCCATTGGAACAACAGCCTCCTGGTCAAGGTACAGGTTCCTCATGAGTACAATCAAGTGCTCGGGAATTCCCATTCTTCTCAATGTTTTCCATAATTTGTCATAATTAGTCAGCCGCAGGGACCCAGGTAAGGGTGATACGAGAGGTTTCCAACAGGGAGGCAAGCTTGTCTGTCGGTTTGTCCTACCGTGGTGATGTGTTGATATGAGTTTTGAGGCTGAGCCACTGCTGTTTCTAACCCAGCAGATGCACATGGTGCACGGGTATCATCACACCTTACAGACTGAGACAGACTAGGAAGCAGGAAGAGGCCATCCACTTCTCAAATAATTGGCCAGGGAAAACCTTATGAATAGCAAAGAAACACTATTTGATATGGAACCATAGATACATGCATAAGACTACCCCAACAACAAATACCAAATACCAGAGGAATTAAGTAAAAGCACCTATTAAAAAATATATATATTCAGATCATAGAACACGAACTGGAGTTGAAGAAACAGATTGAGCAAGGACTGAAAGGAGAAACAAGAGTGAAAGGAAAACACAGACTCGTAGAATGATGGTGTGAGTGAGGTGCCCATTTTGGAATCACATAGAACAATGACCCAGAGTAAGGAATTCAGGAAAGAAACCTCAAAGAAAGCACAGCTGTTGGCAGAGAGTAAATGCAAACAATCCTGGAAAGAAACACCAAGGGCAGCAAGACATAGCCAGCAACAGGATGCCCCTGAGGGGGAAGTAGTATAGATTTGTAACCAGGGAACCACGGGGAAGTCCATTTAGAGACAGCGAAACAGACTGAGTCATCTAATCTTTAGTGAAGGAGAAAAGTGCACACAGAGAGTACAAAATCACAGGGGAATAAAAGAAGGTTAGGTGAGAGCTCCAGCCTCTCTAGTAAGTACAAGAGGGGAGAGAGTCACATGCTTACCTGCCTGTCTCTCACTCCTCCTATCTGATGAATAATGGTAGTTCTCACATGCTCACCACCCACCTATCTACATCCCTGACCCAGCAAGTGGTGGCATCCATGCTCCCACATGCTTGCCTGCTGGCCTCTCAACCCCCAGAGTTGGTGAGTGGCAGTGTACATCCTCCTGCTCACTCAGACACCCACTTTCTCAACTCAACAAACAATGGACACTGCACACTCCGGTGTACCCACCCACCCAGCACCCACTCAACCATTGCCACCCACAGTGTAGCTTCCCAATACCCCTATCACAGCAAGTGGTGACAACCGCACCCTCCTGCATGCTCACCCACACACCAACCGCCCTGCCAACTGGAAAGCAGCAGCATCTGCACTCCCAAGTAGTCACCCACTCAACTCCCACACCTCCAATAAGGAGTGGCAATTTTGCTCACCCACCTGTACCCCATCCACCCTCAATTTGGTGAACAGCTCCAGCATGATCATCTGCCCACCTGCTTTACACAACCCCAACCACCTAGTGAGAAGTGGTGACTGTGCCCTCCTGCATGACTGTGAGCACAACACCCACCCCCTCAAATGACAAGTGGTAGCATCCACGCTCCTGCATGCTCGTTTGCCCAACCTCTCACTCCCTCAATCCACCCACTATCCAAGATGGCAAGCAGTGGCGAATGCATGCTCTGACATGAGAGCCTAAGGCACTTGACTGCTAACCAGAAGGCTGGCGGTTCAAATCCACCAGCCACTCCT